CCTACTGTGTCCGATCGACACTGTGTCCGATCCGCACTGTGTCCGATTGCAACCACCGTGTGTCCGTTTTCTACTGTGTCCGATCGACACTGTGTCCGATCCGCACTGTGTCCGTTTCCTACTGTGTCCGATCGACACTGTGTCCGATCGACACTGTGTCCGATCCGCACTGTGTCCAATCCGCACTGTGTCCGATTGCAACCACCGTGTGTCCGTTTCCTACTGTGTCCGATCGACACTGTGTCCGATTCATTCAACCTGCTGTGTCCGATTTATTCTGTGCGCAACTGGGACTCACTCTTCAATATCATGGAATTCCTTATTTTGGAAAGAATTTGTCTTTTCTGAATCCCATCCAATTCCGACACAAAAATATATTATACCACTGAATGCCAGGTCAGAGATTGGAAAGTTTCGTGATGAATTCCATTGAATACCATTAATTCCGTTAACGAAATGAATACCATTGAATGCCAAACTAGAAATTAAAAATTTCCGTATTGAATTTCATTGAATTTCGTCTATTCTGACAATAAAATGAATTCCATTGAATGCCAAGATAGGGATTAAAAAGTGTCCGTGTTGAACTCTGTGGCGGTACGCGCCATCAATAGTACACGGCCGCGCGGTATCTGCATTACCGGCAGTTTGCGTCGACGCCGCTAGGCGTCGCATCGCCGGGGCATCTTCTCGAGTTCAAAGTTTCGTCTCGACCGCTATGTAAAGAGACCCCCCTACGGGGCCTGACAGATCTTAAAAATCTCATTTTCGGGCTAATTGCCCGTCGGCAGTAGTGCGTGTAATGCCCTTAGGCATACACAAAAGCTCACCGACGAACAACGGCGCTTGGTCGCCCAACGGAGGCGCGAGACGTTTCCTAAACCATCTAATGCCATGCAATTCCATAACCTTTACGGATTCCATAGAATTGGATGGAATTGAAAATTTCTTTTTTGGATTCCATGGGATTGGACAATATCTCATTTCGAATCCCATCTAATTTCATTTAATTTCGCCAAAAAAGAGATTCAAAAGTATTAAAAAATTTTAATATTTTTTAATCCTTTTTCGTTTGCTGGGGAACGAGCCCATGCGGTGACTCGATTGTCTTCCAGCCTCGGCACAGACAACGCAATGGGGAGCCGCGTTGCATTGGCCGATCTGGTGGTCCCTGGCCGCACATCTAAAGCAGGACCCCGTTTGATCCTCCGGGAAGCCGCATGTACTCTTAACATGAACATATCGCCAGCACTTAAAACACTGGACTGGTCTTTTTTTCAGTAATTCTGTGCGAGCGACTGTCCATTCAATTTTTATTCGTTCTAAGTCAGAGATCTTGAGCGCGACGGTCACAGGGCACTTAATCCAGACTGAATTAAGTCCGTTCCGCAACGGTCTTATGTTGCCGATTTTTATATCGGCCTCGTCGCAGTCCCCGATGACTGAGATCTTATCGAGAATATCTGATTTTGATATTAAATCGTCAAAATTCCAAAGGCGAATCTCGCCCGTCGTTGTTGGTCTGTTGATCCGCACAGTATTGTTATGCAAGACCTCTCTGAGTTTTTTGGAGAGCGCATCAGCCTTGGAGGCACCGTTTTCACCGGGGATCTCAATGATAAGACCACCGTTGATGCCGCGACGTATTTTAGAGTCTTCAATTCCCAGAGACCTCAATTCTATCCTTTCGCGTGCTTGTTTTAGGATTCCCGCATATGAGACCTTTTCCGGATCTACACTAGTTATCGTCACAGCCGCAGATTTAGGCGGTCTGCGGCGAGGAGTGCCGCAGGGAACCTTAGCTACCGCGTTAGTGGCGTTTTTAGGATCACGACGCTGCGCACTACCTCCAGGGACTTCCTTGTGAGGGGTTTTGGGGGTCCGAACTTGTTGAGCGTTCGCATCCTCGAGCAAACCGCTCGGTTTCGTTGTCGAATTGGAGCGTAATTGACGTCTACGATCAGCTAGTTGTGACATTTGCTTATTAATCTGACTGATTTCTATGTCTACATCATATACTCCTCTACTTCCTCGCTGGGCGTATCGTCGTGAGAATCAATGAGAGATATACTCTGTTTCCGAGTAACTCGGGATTTAGGATCTTGTTTATCGCTCTTAGTTTCGATATTCCTGGGATGGTCAATCTTTCGTTCCTTAGTTGGAACTTTTAGGCGATTTGAGCCAGTTAGTAATTTACTGTCTGTTATCGTTGCTGGCCTTTTCGTAGTCCTTTGCGGTAGAGGAGGGAATTCTAATTGAGCTCGACGTCGGTCAGAAACATCGGCGTTGAGTCCCGTCTGAGATGCAGGCGAAGGAAAATCAACCGAAGGCGAGGGTAGGGTAATCTTAGATTTCCCCTCGATTTTCCGTCACTCTCGTCCATTCTAGTGATATGTGTCGACATTGTATTCTCCATCTTGCTCAAACGGTCGTGGAGCATCTCTAACTCTCGCTTGAGCAGAACATTCTCATTCTTAATTGAAGAAAGTTCCCTTTTTGTCTTCTTATCTTCGCGTTTTAGTTCGCGAAGCTGGGAAGAGAGTTCGCTGTTTTGGACTCTTAGGGAGGAGATATCACCGGACTCCTCCAGTCTCTCACTAAGCACCGAGAATATCTCCGCGATGTTAATGAGCCCGCGTCTCATTGACCCACTCAGCGTTCCCTGAAAGCTGTTGCTTTTCTTCCTAATCGCTTCGATCTTCTTAATGAAGTCCGTTGTGAGTTCAGATAATTTATTGGATGGATTAACGAGATTCCCACTGTCTCTATCTACTATCTAGCGAAACCACTGCCAAGGGAACGGGCTTGGAAAAATTAGCGGGGAAAGAAGACCCTGTTGAGCTTGACTCTAGTCTGGCATTGTAAGGAGACATGAGAGGTGTAGCATAAGTGGGAGATGGCAACATCGCCGGTGAAATACCACTACTTTCATCGTTTCCTTACTTACTCGGCTTCCAATTCTCGGCATCGGTATCCAATTTCTTAAGATCGTTTGTGGGAATGACTTCCATACGAGTCCTGGCGTTCAGTGAAGTTGTAGCTGGGTCTCGCTTCGTGTCACTCGAGGCGTCTTAGATCTCTTGGAGAGACTTTTAGAAAATGGAAGAGACATAACCTGTTTCGCGCGAGGTGAAGTCTTGGCTTTCCTCTTCTTTTTTGTGAGTTCGCTGTTTATCGAGTCATCGGAGACGATTATTATCGGGTCTGTTGGTAAATTGTCTTCCCGACTTTCAGTGAGCAAATCATCGTAATCGTATTCCATCTCATCCGCACATCCGGTCTTTGAAACCTCGGAGTGCGGATGATCTTCATCATCGATAATCTCAATGTGCTCCGTCTCCGATTCGAAAAGGCGAAAGATGGTGTAACTTCCTTTTCCGGAGAGCTAGAACGGGATCCAACAGCACGACTTAGGATTCTTTTAGCTAAAATTATAGCTTGATTCTGCATATTTTCGGGTGCGAGCCTGACCTCTTCCTCGATTTTATCTGCGGTTTCCGTCTCCAAATTTTTGTCAATAGTAAGTAAACAACCCGGTGTGTCTGCGAAATCCGTGGGACACGTAGACACAGGCGTTATTGGGTCAATCTCCTCGGTAGTTCTTACTTTACTGGAGCCCGAGGGTGGCTCCGGATTTGTCTTCCGTAGCAGGGCTTCCTCCGGTGCCCGGAATCAACACCGGTCGTAATGAATCCGAATTTCCTTGCCCGTCGCTGGATTCTGATAAACCCGGTGGGAGTACCAACGACCCGGGGGGAGCCGGACAGTGCATTTCTGCACCCTCTCGTGCCTACCCCTGGAGATCCGAGCATCCTGGGGTAGTAGACTCTTATCTTTGTCATGTTGTGTAGCCATTTTATTATTTTGGACTAGTTACTCGAATGCACTCCGTCCTAAGTGCATTCTAGGACAGTTCGCAAATAGCTACGCCTTCTCCAGGGGCGCACTGCAAAAGGATGTTGGTAGCTAATCCTGCGTACGCGGCGAGAAGAGACGTAAATGGAACAGCTAATTGCTTGCTAAAAGCAAGCCCAAACTCAAAATACCGTCGAAGATGGGAATATCCTATGCAATTATTTCCGAAATTACGGAGTTACATTCATCAGAGCTATCCAGGAGATGTACAAACTTTGCAGTAGAATGATAAATATCATAATTATATTTTCAAGATTACGTGTACGCATGTTTACAAAATGTCTTAGAAAAAATTTAATCGAATTTAATTGAAAAATTTAAAAAAATAACAAGTTTTGCAAAACTAAAACTAAAACTTAAAACTAATTACCTGATGTGGCATTCGACAAATTCTGTTTTATTTCATATTTCATATTATTTATTTCCATTCTTTATTTTATTTTATATTCCATATTTGGTATTCTTAATTGCTTCATTTCTTTTATTTGTCATATTATATCAGGTAATTTACAATGTAATATATTCTAACTAACTTACAAGAAAACCGTTATCTTGATGATCAAAAAGGGGTGAGCCGCAGCAACACAGTGTCAATAAAATAAATTACATGTGCTAACAAATGTGATGCTCATGTATTATTCATAATATTTATAGATTTTAATTGTCGATTGCACAGAGCATCGATAAACGTGTAGTGTAAAAATGCAAACGTCATTCGATATGAATGAGGACTTAGAACCATCGTGAAACGGCAGTCGTTCTTGCGGATCAGCTTTAATAAACAAATTCCCTAACTTAAAGGTTGCAACACTTTTTTTGGATGGGTTTTGGAACGCACGA